TTTTGGAACAAATTCCCTTTTTTGATTTATTTTGCTATGATACTGCCTTCATTCAAATGAATCCTTTAAAATTTTCTTTGGTAATCTGACCTTAGAGATTTTTATTTCCTCTCTTAACCTCTATTATTTTAGGGTGCGAGGGGCTTAAACATTATTGCTCATTTTATTTCTTTAACTTGTACATCACCATATCTAGTTAAAGAAATAATTCTCTCCTAGAGTTACTACGTGTCTTTTATACTCCCAGCGATCACTGCATTTTCAGGGAACCACGGATTTATTTTATCGATAGAGCGGGAGGGCACAAGGAGTCCTGTTACTCAGCAGGTGTGGTGACAAATTAGTCAGGAAGCTATTGCTCAATTTAACTCCAGCAGCAGTCCTTTCTGAATTGTGAGCTACTCTCTGTTTCCGCCCTTTCCAGGTCCCTTCATGCAACTTTATTTTTCCAGCTTTTTCCGAGATGTGTAGGTAGTTTGGGGGCATTATTGTGAGAAATGGATGGAACATCAGACGAACTGTGTGATCAAAGGTAAAAGAGCTTCAGAGATAAAATTTCCTGCATTTTTTGAAATAAGGCCCTGGCTGAATATCCTATTGCTTACTAGCAATGTTTTGTCTCATGCCAATGCCAGAATTTTAATTGCATTTCTCCCTGACACTGGATATGTAGTCTAAGAAACTGATGTTGCACTGCAGCTGGAAGCTGACATGAGACTGAAATGACACTGCTGACATGAGACTGAAGCGATCCTTTGCTGTGGAATATTTGTCTCCAGCTGTTCCTTTGCAGGGTGGGTTATGGAGGCTGCACCTGTGCACGCCGGGATAGCAGCAGTCAGAGAGGATTCCCTGCCATAACATTTTTCTGTGAAACACATACTTTCTCCCTGAGGAAATGGGCTTATGTCAACAAAAATGGAAACTTCAAGAAAATATATATATGTAGTGCTGGGAAAAGCTAAGCATTTTTGCTCTTAAATGTGTGGGGTGATTAATTTCATGTGCCATAGCCTTCACACACACATTCTTCTTCTTTGACAAAAGCTGAATGTAATTGGAAGCCTATGAATGTCCATAGTTGCCAGACAGCTTAAAATTGAGATACTGTGAAATGCAAACAAGTGGAAATGTTTCTCTCTTGGGTAAATATATGAGAATTATTAAGCATTAAATACCGATTGCAAGGAGAATCATTTAGGACAGTCAAAGATGAACCTGAGGTGGTTCTTGTGTACAAACCTGGAGCAGGAGTCCAGTTAGAGAGGCCTGGACAGGCGGGTTCTGCTCCACAGCCTGATTTTGCACCCTGTTGGTTGGTAAGTGTTGCAGCATTTTCCTCCAATAGCTGTAGGAAGACATACTCCTTCACACAGATGCCCTCACATAGGAGCAAGAGTAATTTGTATTCATATAACTTCCTTTTCCAGATGGAAGTAAATCAAACTGATCCAAGTAACATTTCTCTTGATGTAGTTGTGTCCATGGGTAATGGTTTAGCTAGGTCGGCAGAACACAAGCAGCTTGCAGGTACCAAGAAGCTCCAAGACGAGAGGGGACATGGCGAGTCTTGCTGGTATCCTTACTGTCAGGGCAGTGGTGGCTTGCTTCAGGGAAGGAAAATTACTCATGCACATCCAGGTTTTCCTTTTACCTGCTTGTATTTTCTTTTTGCATTCAGAGACTGTTTATCTACGTCAGGGCAAAGTGCAAAGGAGCTTGAGAGGCTCAGGCCACATGGGGTCTGTTGTCCCCATCGCTGAAAGTCTGCCAGGTAAATATTTTTTCTTCTGTGCCTCCATTTACCATCTCTCCTTTTTCATTCTTAGTTATTTAAGTTTACAAGGTCTTCAGAACATGCACAGTTCACAACTATGCATCAGTAAAGTGCCCAGGACACTAAAATGCTGATTTTTGTCAAGGTGAGAGGGTAATGTGGCTGCAGAATAAATTAGGAAAAGAGATGGCTAACCTAAACTTAGCTGCAGCCTGAAAATGAAGAAAGTTGTGCTTTTTACAAGAACTGTGCCTTACAGACTGAAAGTATAAACCTCCTTTACAAACAGGCAATTACACTGTTGCCATGTTTGTGAACACATCTGGTCAGTGCTGATGTGTATCTTTTCTTTTGTCATAAGTTAACATGGATTTGAGCGATCTCTTCTGACCCACCACTGCCCCTCTTTGTTTAGCGTTCAATTCTGTCAGCCCCTTCAACATGCAGTGTCTTCCTATACTGCCATTAAGTTGAATAATACATGCACATGACTTAATCCAAGCTGTCTCCAGCAGTTAGTGGCCTTCTGGAGAATATCCAGATGTTGCTTGAAAAGAGATGACTGGGAAAGAAATAAACAATTTCACTTGACAAATTGGCCAGCGTATCTTTTGTCTCGGCCATGTTCCACTTCGAAAAGCTTGTTCAAATAACATAATTGTGCTTGAATTAAAAGTAGGGTAGGATTTTTGGGTTGGGTTTGTTTGTTTGTTTGTTTGTTTTTTCATCCATGAAGGTAAAAGCTTTGTATGAAGATAGTAAAATACAATTATCCTAGGAAATAGAGGTGGAAACTGAGGTGCAGCATTTGGGCTAAACTCGGTAGAAAGTCAGAGAGAAAAACTCAAGTAGTGCTGAATATTTGGCCTCCTTTAAATATTAGCAAGATTCCCTTCTACATTTGCCATCCTTTCCGCAGAACAGCAAATGTTTCTCATCAGAGTGCAAAAACATGCCTAAAATGTAATGCTCTCTGGGCTACCAGGTGGGCAACGATGCTTTCCCACTGTAAGAGCAGTATATGTGAGAAAAATAAATGGCTAGTTCATTTTTGCAAGGAAGGTGTTGCAGCATCACCGCGAACTCAAGGAGCACGGTATTCCTGGAGTGTTTTTGCATGATTATTTTTTAGGTTCACTCCTCAGTTACATAACAACATATGCTTTCCCTATTTACAGCATTAAAATAGACTGAGATTTAAAAAAATATACTCCCACTGCAAATGATATGATGCTGACGTCTACTGCTGATACACCGATGTCTTTTTCCACCAAAGCCAGCTAGATGCTGCCTCAATATGCCATGAAATGTCTGTAATCTCAGAGCCATGAAGTATAGCACTACGCAAGGAAAGGAACCCGATGAAAAAGCATCTGCTTGGCAATCAGAACTTGGAGATTGTCCCTTAAAGTGTTGGTAGCTTCCCGGATCTTCCTAGGGTTCCCAGTGGATATTTTGGGTTGGAAGAAAGAAATGCCTCAGCTAAGCCTGAAGGCTCCTGTTGGGAGGTGTCCCAAAATGTGGGGATTGTCAATAGTGGGGATCAGTCTACGCTGGTGGCAGATGTTTTATGCTCGACAGTGACTGCAAGGAAAATTTCCCACCCAGGAACTGTCAAGCACAAGACATCTGCAGCGTATTGAGAGCTTTAGAAATAAAATACTAGGTTGTGATAGAGGTTTGCTTTATGTGAAGTTTCTCTCTCGTCAAAATAATTTTGAGGAAGAATTATTTCCCTTTTTTAACACCTGTTTTTGACATTTCTGAAATGGAAAAGCTTTTTGTTGTTGTCAGAATGACTCTGTTATGAAATGTAGCTGTAGGTAGGCTAAGAAAGAAGTTCCAACAGATACGTTTGAGGGATTCCTGCACAGAGCTCTTACTCATGAAATAAAAATGTACGTTCTAGCACCTCTCAACCTTTCCATGTCATAAACAAATATGGAAATGGAAAGGGCAAATTCTCAGCTGTGCACCAGGATTAAAACAAGCAGCAAAGCCCATCTCCTCTCGGTTCCACCCTGTGCCTTCCCTTTCCCCAGCACCTCCACTGCCAGGAAGGTTTTAAACTTCAACCAGTCACCCAGACGAGATCCCAGTCCTGAAACCAACGTGGTGCTGAGGACACAAAGAATCTTTCTTTTTGGTGGATGATGTTTTTGAGAGAGAGAGCGGTGCCCATTTGCGTCAGTGCGGTGGTTTGGACAGCCGCGTGAAGGTCCTGGTGCAGATGAATTCGTGGGCAGGTGATAAGGTTAAAAGTGCATAATGGCTGCACTTTATCACTCGGCTATCAGTAATGCGGACATGCCTATGTGTGTTTGGATTCCGGGCACACTTTTCTGAATATGCCTTTCTAAATTGAGTAGCTGCCCAAAACCTTTAGCAAGCATCCTCAGCCAGAAACCCCGAAGCCTCTCGCATTTACCTTCTACATGCATCGGGAACTGCTGCAGTGGGTTGCAAAGTGTTGTTACTTAAGAAACGAAGTCTGGCGAGAAATGAGTCTTCCATGCGATTATTTCATACGTTCTGGCTTCTCTGATTCAGTCTAGCGCTGAACTTCTCCCTTCTCTCCCCCTTCCCGTTAGCCCCACGAGGCCTCCCTGACCTTACAATCCACCCACGGTTTCCATGTTACTGTCAGCCTCCTTACACTTGACTGATGAGAAATATGTGATTATTCAACACATCATAAAAACAGCCAGAGCAAATGAAGGAGAAATCTGGAAAGTATTTATAGAAAATCTGTAAACAATCACTGCAATTCAGCTATTCAAAGCTGTGCACACATTAGCTTATTAGCTGTAGAGCTGTCAGATGTTCTTTGGTTCCTACACCTTTTTTAAAAAATTAAGAACTGTTTTTGTTATGCTCCCAGCCTTTTTGTATTTCATAGACTTCTGTTTGCAGAAACAATTTATTTTTTGAGCTACAATAACCGAGATTTCCCCTCCCACCCCACCTCTTATGCCTACACATCGTTTCATTGACTTCAGAGGTTTGACAAGCACTGATTCACTGACATTCCTTGTGTGCTAAAAGGCTTCTCGAGGCCGACTTCAAGCACATGCATCTGTTTGCTGCGTACAGCTCCACATCAGATTCGGGTAAGCAGGAAGGAGGAGGTGAGAAAGAAGAAGCCGTGAAACTCTTCTGGAAAGCGACACAATGCAGCGGTGGGACACGCGTTGCAAAAGAGGCAGGAGTGTTTCTTACTCACCATGGCGTGATTTAACCAGATTGGGATGACTCCATCGAGGCTTTTGGGGTAAACCAGCTCTCTATTGTAGGTATACAGTGTCCAAAAGGATATAGACACAAACTGGAACCAAAATACAAAATGAAAGAAATTTCAAAATGAAAGACAAGCATAGTTGGTAGGATTTGGCCAGTGCTTTCATTTCTGAGGAGGCAAAACAGCTCCTACATGAAAAATGGTGATACTGCCAGGTAAACTCACGTTACCTCACGTGTTACAACACAAAGAAAGGAATTTACTCTGAGGTGCAGTGTTCTGTGCTGATACTGAGAGAAAAACATCCTTTATAAACTTCCAAGAGTGACATTTTACATTTTCTATGGAATAGAAGATTAGCTTTAAACTTCTCCCTCTGCACCTCACCGCCTCCCCCATCCCCCCGCCCCAACCTTTGCAGATGGGATTTTTGATGGTCCACAATCTGGGAGGGATTGGCTGTCAAGGCACAGCATTTTTTCTGCTCAGTAACAAAGTAAAAACAGACCTTGGTAAGACAGTTCACATAAAACCTACCCTTATCTTCACAATTCATAAGCCTAATTCCTATGCTGCAGGTGCGAGCTGCACTGTGGGCACCCATTTTTTTTTTTCCCAACGGGAGGATTTACAGTGGGAGAATTTAACTGGATGAAATGAACCCGGGCATCGGTTACTGATACCTGGAAGCTGATTTGCATTGGTTTTTTGCCTGGCTTTGTGCTTGAGGTTGGAAATCAGGGGTGTGAGATGCTGGAAGAATGAGACTGCACCATGTCTCTGTCCTGTGGGCACCACGAGGATGCCTGAGGGGGATATGACAGCAGCATCGTGAATACTGCTGTGCAGAGAAGATAAATTAGTCAGTCTCTCTGTCTCCATCCCTGGCAGGACTTTTTAGTGAGCCAGCTGGCTGAGCTGCTTGTGGTCCAGATTTAAGTACCGTTTCTCAGCCCTTTGACGTTCAGAGGTGGCTGCAGGCTCCACTCGCACAGAGCGGTACCTACACCTGTAAGTAACCCACTGGTTCCTGTCCAACCAGCACCAGATAAACAGCATTTCGATAAACAGCATTATCAGTGAGGGAGTAGGTGATCAGGAGTCAATCTGACATCAGCTGTGACTACAATTACTATCCTGTGAATCTGTTTCTCTCCAGCGCTTATTTAAAGCCATGCTGGAGTCAGAGGAGAAGATGTGAGACTTTTCTGCCTCTTAGGTACCCTCTCATGTCCTCCTGGTCCGTGCTGCCCTTTGGAAAAAGGCTGTAAATCGATAAATCCACAGCTGTTTGGACTGTGAGATTAACGGAGAGGTTACACCTCATTCACCCTTTGGGGTCAACCTGTGTTCACTTGGGGACAGCAACCCTAAAGTTCATGCAAGAGGTTTTGCATTCAAACACGACAGGCTCAGCACTGTTTCTTCTTCTAAACGGTCCAAATCCATTTACAAACGGTAAAAGAAAGCCTACAGTTGTTACCTATTTTATGCATGTGCATGTATTGCTATATACCCCTAAGCATTTATGCAAGGATCATTTTTACATACAGAGGTTACTTACTGTGGACACTGGGAAAGCCAGGACACTGAAAAGAAGGTCTCTGCTGGAAATTACGCACTTAGCACATCGCAGTTTCTTAATTAGTCTCAACACATCAGCCAGGAAGGACACCCCATAGAAGACAGCCTGCAAAACCTAAAGTAATTACACCTAATGAGGGAAACTCATCCAGCTTTCATTAGCACGTTCCTCAATGAACTCTGTTCTTGCTCTTCAGGGAGCTGTTTTGTTCGTGAGCTGCAAGCCCGCGTGAGGGAAATAGCTGTTGGCTAAATCTTTTTTAATACCTGAAACTGATTAAATAAAGTTGTTCGGGAGATAACTTTAACAGCATCACGTTTAATAGACTAAACAGAGATGTGTGATGTGATTCAGATGGGGGAGGTGGAAGGACATGTTGAAAGCCGGCTCCTTCACACTTCCTAAGTTAATTGTTACGTTCAGTGTATCTGAGCGGGAGCAGGAGAGAACAAACTATGCCAGGAAATGTTTCCTGTGCAGCAATTGCTAGACAGCTGCTCCTGCCGTTTAGCCAACGGGGGCCTTTCTTCCCAGGGACTCACGGTGCAGTTGATCTCAGTGTCAAGTAGCTCAAAATGCTCTAACCTACGAATTTGGTGCAGAAGTTATCAAAACCAGAACCTCTTTTGCTGAACTCAGGGGGATTCGGGAAAGGATTTCAAGCGCTTAGAAGCAGAGATCCAGACTTCACTAATTAAAAATGAGTAAGTTGAACTATTTATAACTAATAAATTTTGGAGCTGGGAGGGTGGGTAGGTTGTGTTTTGGTTTGACTTCTTTCTTTCTTTCTTTCAAACATTTACAGTTAATGAGGGTGGGGTCGTTTGGGGAGGCTGCTAGAATTTGGTAAAGAATTAGGTGAGTGCACAGTGACAAAACAGAATTCTACAAGTGTGTATGAAATTGTTACAATATTGTGGTTTAAGCCAATACTGCTTTTCTGACTGCTTTGTTTTCTTTACTAACGCTACGCAGCATATCAAGCTGAATTGGATTTGTCAGACACGAAGGCAAAGCCTTGCAGAAAAATACTTCTCCCCCTACATTGCATTCAGCACTGCGTCTAGTTCCGTTCGGTAAACTCAAGGGACGGCCTCTTCTCTTTAAGACTAGGGTGTCCCGGAGTGATGGATGCATTATGGGAAACGCAGACTACTGCAAGCGCTGGACCAGCTAGCAATGCTTAAATGGAATGGATGAGATCTCTTTTGCCATAATCTTACTCTGAATCAGATATTTATTTAGAGCAAAGCGTCTGAAGTTGTGGCTGGTTACTTCACCAGTTTCTGAAGGAGCCGAGAAGGGTGGTGCTTGGGAGGGGAAAGAATTAGTGCAATGCTTTTCCATCAGAAATTCCTTTATTATCAAGTTATCTGAGGGAAGGAGGGGGCTATGATTTCACCATGCCTGTTGTCCAACAAGGGTTTCTGCAAACTTTAGTTTGCAGAGACCGAGTCTTCCTTGGGGAGCAAGATGGCCATAGTTTGCATAACCAAAGTATCCTTGCAGTTAATCTGCAACCATCCCCATCTATTTTGTGGCTTCCTAGAAAAGGGAGAAGATACATCCTTCCCTCCCTATTCTTTCCACACTGGAGCCAAGTGCCACTAGTGGTGTGTCCCCCCACCCCCATGCAGACCCACAGCGGTAGAGGGAGGGAGGTGTTGATGCAAGATGGGTGATGGGTCCAGGGTCAGTCAGGATGAGGTATCCGAGGTGGTGCACCACCCAGTGCAGCACAACCAGTGCAAAGCCCTGTGTTTCCTCTCAAAAACATGGGGCGAACAGCCACATTTTTACATTAAAAAAAAACCCAAGCAACTTCATCAGAACCCACATGTGGTTTTATTCAATTCTGAGGCACCCAAACCACCTCTTTTAAATGTGGTTTTCTCTCTCTCTCTCCTCTCCCATTACCACAATTAGCCTCTGTAACTGCAGGCACAGTTTCAGTCAGTAGGCATTCAGCCCGCCAAGTCACGGGTCTAGTTCAGAAAAGTCCATTCGGGGGTGCAGCGTACTTAGACCCAAGCACATGTTCAACCCAAACGTCTGCCCCAGTCCTTGGCCTCACCAGGACACCAAACCCAAGTCCCTGAAGAGCTAAGAAAAGCCTGGTAATAAACAGAAGCTCTTGTTACACCCTGTAGAGTCAGCTGTAACTTTCTGTAAAAAGCATGAAAAATGAGCTTGAGGGTGGTGACAGTCTGGTGACACATGGTGACTAATTGCCAATAAAGCAATTAGGGAGAGGCCTGGTTCCCAGAGGATGGGGCTATTATTATCTTGTTCATGGTCAGCCTTACATTAATCATGGGAGCAGGATAGGCTGCTTCTTCCCCCCCTTCAAAATTAACTAAACCAAACATCTTTGAAAAGAAACAGTCCCAGAAAGGCCACATTCTCAGCCTGGTAAATACTCTGTCATAGACAGGGGAGGGCAATGTTATCTTCCATATGGAAAATGCTTATAGGGATGTGTAACCTGACCCATTTCTCTGGCTGAACATGGAGAAGAACAACAGAAGAAGTTTGAACTCAAGCCTCAGGAGCTTGGTTTTGCGCTGCACATAGCTCTGCCCTTGTCTGATGCTATGGGTTCTGAGGGGTTTCGGTCAGTTCGTGATCACCACGTGTTTCCAGGAACAATAGAAGAATATACAAGTAATTTTCAAGCCAGAAAACTGAAATTAGCTAGAATCATTGCCGATAATGCTCAGTCTGTCAGAGTGCACCGCCAGTAGACTCAAGCCCCAAACCTGTGCTCTTCCAGGGTTATTCCTGTAAGAAAGGTGCATCCAAATCTCACAGCCCTTCACTAGTGGGAAAATGTTGACATTAAAAAAAACAAAAAAATTGACATGAAAACATCAGATGTCCTGTGAATTTCCCAAACAGCAGTGCTGGCGCTCACAAATCCATTGCAGCCGCCCATGGAATATAAATCCACTGGCTGTAAATAAAGAGGATCCCCTAAAGTATTCCCACACGAACAGAAGGAAGACTGGAAACATTCAGAAAGCTAATGATTAACCCAAAGAGAAGAATATGGACATGATTATCCCTGTTGGAGAGATGCTGCTTTCCTCTCAAGACCCCACAAAGCTCCACAGCATTAGGTGCTGTAGAAATGCTTAATTTGGCCAGATCGATTTTCCAAACTGAGAGTCGTAGTGACAAAGACAAACCTTAATTTTTCTCTGCTGCAGTGTTCAAAGGGGTGTTTCTGTTGAACTAACCTGACATGATTTACTTTTGCATATAAGATCTAGCCATGTGTGTATACTGCAATCTCCAACTAGTACAAATAAATTGGGCTCCAAGCTCTGCCCTTAAGAGGGGATAAATCCTGTATTCTGATTAGGCTATTAGACATAACAGTCAACTTTCAGTGTAGACACATATCCATTCACATGATAGTGACCTGGAAAATATGTATATTAAATACTGAGTCTATTTTGAAATAAATATAAGACACCTTTCAGGAGAATTGAAAAGTATTTCTATTATGAGAGACAAAAGCGTGTGGAATAAAATAGAGCAGGAAAGTGTTTAAAGGTGCAGTGTGCTCATTATGCAATGATTTACAGCAGCGAGCAGATTTTTATGAGCTTGGATATTTCAGGTAATGAATGATTCAGCTTATACTGTTTTGTGTCACAGACAGATGAATACGAAACTGTTTTTATCTCTTATTCCTGTTTGTTCGATAATCGGTCCATGAAATCCTTTGATACAAAATCTATTCATCTTTTCTTTTTTTTCACCCCCTACAAAAATATTTCCTTTCTGAATCTTGATTGCTGCGATTGTTAACCAAATCAATGAATCTGAAGTAACGTCAGAGCTGTACCTCTCTTGGGAGAGACGCATGACTAGCGAGGAATTGAATGAGGTGCTGAAAGAGGGTCATATCTAGAAGAAATTCTTCCAGCATCCCTCTAGCAGAACTAGGAGTCAAGCTGCATTTCCATCCCTGGAAAGCACATTTTCCCAGTGCTTCCATTTCGGATCAGAGTGAGCTGACCACAGCAGCTTTCCACAGATGGAAATTTTTTAATGCAATCCCAAAGAGCTGAGAGGAATTTTGGGGAGAAAATTTCCAAGCCATTCAGCCAGCCAGTGACAGAAGCCAGGTAACTGCAGGCCAGTGGGAGACAGACAGAAGAGCTGGGCAAGTGCTCTGTGTGCCTGGCTCTGAGGAAGCCCCCAAGGTAGGGCTTAGTTCCGTGGCTCCACGGAACCAGCACAGCCTAGCAGGAAGTTTTGCCTGCTCTTTTTCCCTGGGACCATACCTCCTGGCATCCCGAAGCGTTTCCTGGGACTGCTTCCAATGGGGCAGAAATGTAACTCATCAGGTGTGCACCTGATGGACATCTGTGGTTGACAGCCACCTCTTGTTGCTTGATGTCCCTTGGCAGCAACAGGGAGTGGCTTAACACCAAACTGTGGAACGACTCTTCTAGGTCCTGTGGAGCTCTCTGTGGGGAGCCCCACAGCCCCCCTGGGCCATATTGTCTTCTCACCCTCTTCCTCTCTATACAGCAGCTCAGGAAACTTCTGTCACCTGGAGATACCCATATGAACCCTGCCCAGCTCAGCAAGGGGGATGAGGGCATTTCTCTCCCCAGTCCCCTTTCCCTTTTTGGCAATCCTCTCTTGAAAAACTCACATCTTTGTAGAAGAAGGAGACTACCAGCCTTGAAGGAGTAATTTTGCACACCCTGCTCCATTGCTACATTTTCTGTGTGAGAGAGAGGCAACATCTTCAGCTAAAACCATCTCTGCATTGGCTGGCAGCTCCATTTTAACATCAGAATCAGATCAATAAGTGGTTAAAAGATGGGAGACAAAGGACTGGCAAAGTGGAGCAAGGCCCCTGCTCACGGAGATTTAATGAGACCTGAGCTGTTCAGCAGATCCATAAATGAGCTGGGGAAGGGAGCAAACACTGAGGTTGTAAAGCTTTGTAAATCTTTTTTTTTTTTTTTTTTTTTTTTGTGTGTGTGTTTGGGGTTTTTGCTAATCCTGTCAAAGCGAAGTCTGACTGCAAAATTGCCAAAGAATCCCAGCATAGTGGGTGCCTGAGAGATCAAATAGCAAGCAAAAATCAGTGTTGGTAAATGCAATGTAATGCATTTCAGAAAAAAAGCAACTTCAATTATATATTTTTCAATAGTGGGCTCTAAATTAACTGTCACCATCCAGGGAAGAAATGTTTGACTTGTGGATAGCTCTCTCAAATTTCTGGCTCCTTGCTCACCAGTAATTAAAAAAGACAAATAGAGAGTTAAGGATTGATAAGAAGAAATAAACAACAGTCAAGGAAACACCTTTAAGCCACTGTCTAAATCCTCGCTGTGCTCATAGCTTGACCACTGCAGCCTGCCCTACTTATCTCTTCCTGAAACTAGAAAAACTACTGCAAAGGGCGACAAGGATGCTTTAATGAAAGAAGCAGTCCTTTGTGAAGAGACATGAAAAAGGCTCAGACTTCCAGCTTGCAGAAAAGAATAACCAAGTGGAAAATCTGGTAGAGGTCTCTAATGAGGGGCAAAGAAAAAGTGAACAGGGATGGATGATTAAATTATATCACAGAAGTAAAGAGGCATCCAATTCCGTGGTCAGGAAGCAGGTTTACACCAAGTAAATGAACTGCTCCTTCACACAAGGCACACTTGCCTTGTGGCACTCATTGCCACAGGACAAGAAAGGTACCAGATTGTATAAACAGGTATGTTTTTCCTTTAGATAGATGAAGGGAAGGCTTTGAATGGGTATTAGCTACCTTGGCCTGGATTTATTTTCTGTCTGGGTAAGTCAGTATGCCAGTGTGAGGGTAGAGCCACAGAAAGTTCCTTTCATGCTTACCCACATGCTTGTCTTGTGCAGCCTTTCCCTGATCATCCACTGGTCTGGTCACTAAGGGAAGCTGGGTGATAATTTCAATGAGTATTTCTGCATCCCTGCTGTGGTTTAACTCCATGCAACAACCTAGTATCACACAGCTGCTCGCTCATTCCCCACTCCCCCCCCCCAGTGGGATGAGGCAGAGAGTCAGAGGAAAAGGTAAGGAAACTCATAGGTTGAGATAATAACAGATTAATAATTGAAAAGAAATTAAATTAAATAATGACACTAATAATACTAATGCTAATATGTAATGAAAATACTACTACTATTACTTATAATAATATGTAATGAAAATAATGGAAAAAACCCAAAAGGATACAACTGCTCTCTACCCACCCACTGACACCCAGCCAGTCCCCAAGCAGCAAGAGCAAGAGACAGAGAGAGAGAGAGACAGAGCCAGAGAGCCCCAGGAACCAGATCTCCTCGTCAACTCCCTCCAACTTATATGTTGAGCATGACGTCTTATGGCATAAAATATCCTTTTGGTCAGTTTGGGTCAGCTGTCCTGGCTGTGTCTCCTCCCAGCTTCTTGTAGAGAAAAAGCTGGCAACACAGGGGCAGTCTGAGAAACTGACCATTTGGTTGCTGGCATTTCAGAAAATTTAATTTTTAAAACATCACAAAAAGCCTAGATGGGCTGATACAAAGACAACACAGCAATAAACCATGCATATGGCGTCCTGACTGCAGCAATACACGTGCCCTCATCCTTCCACATCCAAGCTGGCCACTGAGAGGGTGCTGTGGCTCCCTGTTGTAGCCACCTCACGTGCCATTCATCCTCAGTTGCAAATATTTCAGAGTCACAGGAAGGTTGAGGTTGGAAGGGACTTAAATTTCCCATCCCCCTGGGGGGGTCACCAAAGACCCACTTGGAGCTGGGGACCCCTTAGGCTTCCATTAAACTCTACCATGGGCTCTTCTGAAGAGTAAAAGTAGAGGCAAACATACCCCAGGCCAGATCTCCCCCTGCTATTTAACTCTGATGGTTCTACAGAATGGACGAAAGGCTACGGAGGACCCCGCAGTCAACCTTCACATTAGCAAGTGTCCCTGAAGTTGGTCACCTGCAGGAACCCTCATGAACCAGTTGCATTGTGAACAAACCTTCTCCCCAGAAGTGTTTCACATGATTACGTTTTGATTTCTATCTTGTGAAACTTCAGCATATTAGGAGACCCAGAACACATTACGGTCTGTGTTTTTCTGTGTACTTTTAGGCAATGCAGCAGCAGTTGATAGCACTGTTAAAACACACAGAATAATGTTACAAGCACCTCTCTCCACAGGCTGGAATTTCTTACCCTTTTGCTCTCAACTGATTTTCAAACCAAGTACCTGACTGGCTAAATTAGCACCGTCCTATGCTTTCTTTTACCTTTTCTGTAATTTACAGGTCATAGAAACCTATTAAAAATTTAAGTAAAACTCCAAGCAGCATTATAATGTGTATTGCATTAAGGGTTAGATAACATGCAGCCACGTGTCCTGGCTGGACATACCCTACCCTTCTGTCCCTCTCCTCACTGCGAGCCTGTCTCCCTCACAAGGAGGCAGCTAGATTCAGAGTACTTTGAGAGGAAGCCAAGCAGCTCACCAGCCCGTATTCTTTCTGCATAAAACCTGGGAATAATTTCCCCAGCACAAGCATGGATCCCTACATAATTTCCTTTGGGGTATAAACCGTTAAGGGAAGAAGTTTAACAGCAGCAAATATACCAGCTGCATATGTCTTGAGGCACAGATGGCAGACAAACAGACAGACATATTGGTATCACTGTACAACACGATTTTCTTACCAGATTGAGGACTGTCAAATATTTCCACTGCCCACCGTAGAGAAACACTTCAGATGGACGCTCTATGTGATTGAACAGGCAACAAAAAAATACCAGGCAAAAGCAAGACAATGGTACGTGGTGAGAGTAGAGATTTCCATTCTTCAGCCGAGAGCGAGTGATAATCGGTCCGAAAGCAGCTTTTCTCTTAAGTTGCTGTACGTGGGCAACGGCAGGGCAGGAGGGTTTCCTTCGGAGCAGACTTGGGACACACTGCCACTTGGCTCTCTTCGAAAGGGATATTCACAAGACTGTGAACTTTGCTTCTGTTTGTTTCCCTTTTCACTGCACAGATAGACTGGGGGGTGAGGGGGTGAGAAGAACAGACTTATTTCCCGGATTTAAATGCCTTGCACAAGATTAGCGAAGATTAGTTGTGGAGTTACATAAGTTTTTTTGGATTGGGGTTTTTTTTTTTTTTTTTTTTCAAAAGCCGGGGAGAGCTTTGCTGCTGGTTTTGTGTAACAGGCTGTCATGCTTTGGGCAGCAAGTGAAAACAAGCGGCATTTTCCTCGCACACAGCTGTGGGGGCAGCCATGTCTCCAGCTCAGCTTGGGAAGCCTCTCCTGCCAGAAGTAGAAGTGGGAAACTTAACGGTCCTTGAAAGAAGAACCGAGTTGATTTGTTGATAGGCTATGGAGGTGGCAAGGAAGCTGAGAGGATTCGTAGGCAAAGGTCCTTGGGGTTGAAAATCACTGCGAGCGCTGACATTTTTTTTGTGGGAAAAGGCTCTGCTGCCTTTACGCTCCTCCATGCAGCTGGGATCCATCCCGGCTGTGCAGCCAAACCCCGAGTCACTTCAAAGCTCTGGCAGGGATGGAGGCACGGGGCAAAGGCCTTGGATGACAATCCGTAAGCACTGAGCAGGGCGTCTCGCCTACCCGCTTCTTTCCCTGCTGCCATTGCCCTTCAGACAGCCCCTCCTCCCTGGCATGACATTATCGCGCCATCGGGTCTGCTGAAGAGAAGAAGGGATGCTCATGCAATGATCTGGAAATGAAACCATCAAAAAAGTTCCCATGGAAATGCTCGTTTTTCCTTCCCCTCCTGCCTCGCCAAGCACCCTAATTAGCACTGGAAAGCACACAAGGCCTTTACTACTTGGGCAGTCTCCGTAACTGCATGGCTGTCGGCAGGAATTGCCACCTGAGTCTTTCACAAAGGGCCTTGGTGGGGAGCAGGTACTGTGCCCCAGCCCACGCCCAGACCTTCATCACGCAGGACAGGGAGAATGAGTGCTCTCCTCACCCCTGTGGAGGCTGTCCCTGTGGGCAGGGCTGGGCTTCAGCCAGGCGGACTATAATAAGGGATCTCTACACACACACACACACACACACCCCCTTCTAACTGGCCTACAGGCAGCATTGAGCAATCTGCTGTGTTTTGGGTTGTTTTGGTTTTTCTCTTGCTTTTTTTTTTCCCCCCTGATACCAGATATAAGGCTCCATGTCAGATGATTTCCTATGACCTCAGACAGCAGTGTGCATGCATAGTGGGAAACAGCCTTTGCACTAAGGGCCTTCAGTATCCTCCTCTGTTTCATTGACTTCTCCCCTAATTCAGATTACCCGCATCCAGATTCCCCAGGCATCCCAGCCATCACAGTTTCAATGAAATATTTCTGCCTCACTTAGGAAAAATAAAGATGTAGGGCCTTTTGTGGTTGTTTGAGATTGGAGGAGAAAACCCCTTGCCAGGAAAAAAAAAAAAAGGGAATATGTTTTTTTTTTTTATTTGGACAAAGTCACTGGTCTTTTCCTAGAAAACCTAGCAAAAAAGGGTTTTCAGTTGCCTCAACAGACTTTTTGGGGAGGGGCAGTGCTGTCATGAGCTGCTTCCTCTGCTCCTCCTAGTTAAGGCTCATCCCAGTGACAAAAGACAGGAACAGAATCGGACTATGGTTTATTAACGATTTGCATATATCAAAGGCACCAGGCAGTCAGCACTTAACAAGTTATCTTCACACCCGTCTTTCTGAGATTTTGCTGTAGTGCAACTTTAAAAATGGGAAGGCATGTGCTCAGGAGGTTCCCAAATCCATGAAAATGAATGTAAATGTATGCAAAATTGCAAGGTATGTTTTTTTTTAAATTTTAATTATTTTCTGGAGGATCTTGGCCAGTATGGCTGGGAAGGTGTCAAGTACAGTGACAGTTTTCTGATGCGGACACCTGTCCCACAGACTGAGACCATCTGCTTTGTTTTCCCGTATACAAGAAGCAAGATACTTATTCTTCAGCCTAGACAAGGGATGCGGTTTGGATGTAGAAACATCACAAAGATGGGCACCAGATAGGAGCTGAAGTCTGACACCCCACACTCCATGGAGTCTTTGTTATTTCACTGCCAGCGAGCAAATACATTGGAAAAGCGGTATCTTATGCCTCTCTCCATGGGTACAAACATCTACTGAAGGTTCAGTGGAACAGGAAATTCAGCCCAGATCTTCTTGCAGGGAGGGGAGGAAGAAAGATGGAGCATATGGGGACATAGGCAGATGTGCTGCTGAGGATCTTGAGGGATGGTTTAGGGAAATACCATTTTCCATCTGCTTGGTACCCCAGCCCAAATCTGGCGCTCCCCTGCCGCTGAGCCACATTCATGAGCTCTGCCAATGCTCCTAGTCTGCTTCCGACACTCAACTGATTGCAGCAGCGACAGCAGACTTTGTGCTGAAGCAAACTGGGGGCACCCGCCTAGTCCATTAGCTGAAGAATAACAAGTAACTGGAGCTGTAAATCCCCTTGTATACACAAAATGTCCCCTGCTCATGCCCTCTTCTAGGGGGGTGAGTTAGGCTAGCTTGCCTGACTTTGCACCAAAATGGGCTTGACTCGCATCCTTAGCTTGGTTCAGGTACAGAGATGACAGCAAACAGTGTGAACTGGTAATATCTTAGACCAGCATGTCTGTTTGTAATGTCATTGTGTGTCCCCAGTGACAGACACAGAATTTCCAGGCTATCCAGCAGTGCCCCCGCTAAGTCCATCATTACCTTATAGTGGTTGACTACCACCTCAACCTGCCTCTAACAAAGCAGCTGGTAGAAACAAATATTCCCGCTTCCTCAGGGGCTGAAAATTTATTTAGAGACCAGTTAGGCACCTTTCAAATATTCTTCAATATTTTTGCACTGGCAAGGTTTGCTCTCTGTCAGGGCAGCATCCAGTGATGGCAGAACAAGCGAGAACATGGCAGGAAATTCCTGGCAGGTGACAGCAGTTAAGGCCAGGTGGAAGGAAAGGTTTCAAAGCCAAGCAAAGCCCTAAGGAAGGTTTGGGAGCCTATAAATGCAAAACTAGGTGTTTAGGTCTAGCTCTCTTTTCTAGGCACAGTTGGAGAACAGGGGACTAATGTGGAATTGGGATTTGCTGCTGTCAGAGAGATTTTATAGGGTGAAGAAAACATGAGGAGGTGGGTAAGTACGTTTTTCTTCTATTTTTTTCTGACACTTGTTTCTGTCTTCCATGCAGTTCTGTTAGGTTGTATGTGGATTTCCTAATTTATTTATTTGTACTGTACTGCTATGGTAAGCTGGGTTGCGTTAGAGGTGGCATTCCTTGAAAGCGGGACCTGGGGCCGTTCTTGGGTGACACCCTCTGTGCGTTACCCAAGTGTGTCCAGAGTTAATAGACCCCGATCTCTGCTACACTGGCATTCTGGTTTAGTTGCTGGTAACATAGGGGTCTGTGTAGAAGAAGCGTTTCCTGATCACCATTAGCCAAGAAAGCTTTTTAGCATGTAGTGTGAGTCTGCCTGAGCTCTGTGTCCCCGGGGACATCCGTAATAACGATTTGTACTGTGACGGTCCTGATGTATGAAACGAAACATAATTGACAAAATTGCAAGCCTGGCATAGCCTGCTCCAGGCATCTCCAAATCCTGAGGCAAACTCCCCAGAATCATGCGGTTAATGTAATTCACAAGATACAATTCTCTCAGGTTTTGTTTGTCTTCGGCTTTCGTAGCTTCTAGGGGTCTGAGTTTTCCAACTCCTCTTCACAGCTGTGTGAGCAAGAAGCGTAAAAATATTTTAACTACTAACAAAAGCTGAGGGCATTGCCCAGCAATGATGCAGTGATAATGACAACTAATGAAAATCAATCAAAATATCCTGAAGTATTTTGCAAGAAACTTGAAGATGGGCAATGCTGTCACATGTACCCGCTATGTATGGCAAGCGGGGAAGTTATACAGTTCAAAGACAGCTTATGCATCCTCCTGCGTGAGCCTCTTTATCTTGTGGGAGATTTTTTTTTTTTAAATATATATTTTTTTAAGGAGAAGACAGGGAGTGGCTTATCTCATCTTGATATGCTTATTCTGAATTGTTTTTAAGAAGTTGTTCCAAACTGCCTAAATCCAGAGGGATTTTTCTGTCCCAAAGCAATGACTTGGAGTACAATTCAGTAGTTGGAAATACTCACTCAGATTTCAGAGTTTCTCCCTCCCTTTGAGTTCCATTGGCTTTTAAACTTTGTTTGTTCAGACTGCTATATGAAATGTCACTTTGATCTAGAAACAAAACTTCCTGTGTAACAATGATTTGACATTCCTGACTTTTTAGATGAATGAAAACTATGACATTAATCAAAACAAAACCTTTTCAACTAACAACTTGGGTTCTAAAAGCAAGCATGTTGAAAATAAAAAGCATTTGATTGGAAAAACGCTTGCCTGTCTCATTATCTGCAACTTGTAGTGGAAATAAGTAATTGTTTGCCTTATCACCAAACCTCAATAGTGTCTCCTCTCTTGGCAAGATGAATACTACCTAGAAATAAAAGGCATGGTTTTCACTGATTCTCAATAGCTTCCAGAACTCACATACTTTTTGAAGAGATACATAACACTGCTTCTCAATTTTACCTTTTTCCCTTTTCTATTGGAAATGCACAATTAATCTTTGATTGTTTAGAAAGATTGTGCACAAACAGGCTAAAGTTCTGAGCGAAACAAAATTGCCATAGTGTATTAGGGAAGAAATGGCAGGGTATTTTTTAGCTCTTGGGTACACAGGTTATGGCTGGTTATCACTAGACTGCTTCCTGCTAGGTAATTGTGGAAGGCAAGTTAAGAAATGCGTTTATAGAGTTTTTTT